GTTTAAAAAGATGAAACTCGGGGCGCATGCACGGCCGGCTGCGGGATGGACGCGCTTTGAGCTCAGCTCCGTCCACCCGCCAACTATAAAGCGGCACTAACCGGCCCCGGGGGAAACAAACCTCCCCGCAGCTTACCTGCCTCTGCCCGCATCCCGATCACCATGCCCCGCAGAAGGAGAGCCCCGGATCACCCCGGGAAATTGACAAAGTTCTTCCCTGTTATTGTGCAGGGAATCCAAGATGGCGCCCACAGCAGAGACTCACAGGGAGACAGCAGCCACGAGGAGGACTACAGGGCCCAGCACAGGGATCCGAGGCTGCAAGCATCACTCTACCCAGGGGATCCTGGTGAGTTGTCACCCCCTCTGTCCCCCACGACTAGCAGCCCTGCCAAATCCAGGCCACGGCTGGACCAGGACTCTGACATACCATTTCAAGCCCTAAACACCATACCTCCTCCTACTACATTAAATTTGCCAGATATTGACGCATTTCCAGCAGCAGAACAGCCACTAACCGAGGTGTCCATGAAACACCTACTGACGTCACTCCGCCAATCTCTGCAAAACGACATATTTGCGTCTTTAAATCAAATAACTAGCATGGTACAGCACCAAGCACGCAGAATTTGCCATATTGAAAGTAGTTTGGGCGACATAATAACAGCACATAATGATTTGATTGACGCTCACGCAGATCATTCCTCTGATATTGAGCAAATCAATTTAAAATTAGCAGACTTAGAGGATCGCTCGCGCCGCAACAACATCAAATTCAGAGGGATCCCTGAATCAGTGCCGAGTGAAAATCTGCTACCCTACATACAGCAATACTTCAAGCTACTCCTCCCAACGCTCTCAGATCTAGAGCTCGCGATTGATCGAGCCCATCGACTGCCCAAACCGGCGTTTCTGCCAACATCTGTCCCAAGAGATGTACTGATCCGAGTGCATTTTTACCACGTGAAAGAAAAAATTATGATTGCGGTTAGAAATCCGCCACCTCTCCCGCCATCACACGCAAATCCTGCCTCTATGCGGACTTGTCCAAAGCCACGCTCCTTAACAGGAAAAAAATGATCTCCATCACTAAGGCCCTGAGGAATCACGGCATAGCCTACCAATGGGGCTTCCCTACTAAATTAATAGTACGACGACAAGGCAGAATATTCACTGTCAGGAACCTGGAAGCGGGCTTAGACCTGCTTAAGACATGGAACATCCTCCCTGCAGATACACAGGACACCACCTCTAACTCTACCCAACACATGGAGGCATCATAAGCAGTTGCACGGGTCATCCCACCAGGTACTGACATCTTTTCTTCCCCCCCCCCCGGGGGTCTTTTCTCAATACCTACACTTCTGGCGATCGGCCTACATTCGATGAAGTTCGTTCTCCAAGCTCACATTCGGCATGACCCTCCCAGCGGTCAATGCCTGTTTATACCCCCCCTCTGAAGTAGCGATGTTGGCTACTTAGTTTATTTGCAAAACTATTTTTATTATCCCCTATGTCTCCTCTCACCTTTTCCTATGGCACCACCAGCTACTCCCCCTTACTCCCGAACGTGTAATCCTTGCGGCTATTTGGACCACTACCTCTAAACCTTCAATCGAGCCTTATTGGTACCACAATTATACTATCTCTTTCCTCTACCGGGAGATTACCAAATCACGACCTTCTCAAACAACAACCCGACGGTATCTTATCGCTGAAGGAACTTATATAAATGATTAATATCACATCTCTGAACGTTAGAGGCCTAAACTCCCCTTTCAAGAGATCGCTGCTCTTTAAGGAAACCCGGAAATCCCAAGCCGACATTCTCTTTATACAAGAGACCCACTTCGCCACAGAAAAAACGCCTAAACTACACCTACACCATTTCTCACAACTATTTATGGCAACCAATCCTAAAAAGAAAAACGGAGTTCTTATAGCCATTAAAGACTCTCTTCCTTTCCGCCTCATCTCGCAGCTAGCTGACCCACTTGGACGCTTTTATATCCTCATTTGCCAGATTAATGACATAACCCATACATTAGTGAATGTATATGGCCCAAACAACAACCAAATGCAATTTTATCAAATGCTCTACAAGACCATTTCTGACCATAAACAAGGCAAACTCATAATCGGCGGAGACCTTAACGTTATGAGCAACCCACTAGTGGACTCATCCTCTAAGAAGCCACCCACTAAATACACCTTTAATCAATTTCTACATGATCACGACTTCTTTGATATATGGAGATGCCAACATGGTTCCGAAAGAGACTATACCTACTATTCCCCGGCACATCTTTCATACTCCAGAATAGACATGTTTATCACTGACAAATGGACACTACAACAGGTGACTTCCTCTAACATTGAAACCATTTCATGGTCGGACCACGCACCAACCAGCATATCCTTGGACGATGATCGACGCTCGGCGCTCCCACCGATTTGGAGACTTAACTCTTCACTACTGAAATCTCCGGACAATCGGAAACATATTTTAGAAGCCCACAACCTGTTCTTTGCTACCAACACCACTCCAGATATCTCAATTACTACACTATGGCAAACATACAAGGCCTACATGAGAGGTATCCTCATACAATTAAATTCCTGTATAAATAGGCAGCGCTCTCAACAAATTGACCAACTTCTAACCTCCATCAATCTGACGCTAACACTACAAAAGTTTGGCATTAAGGATTGGATCTTGTCGGCGATCCTCGCCCTTTACTCTACACCCTCTGCTAGAGTTTTAAACTGACGGCACACTCTCACAACCCTTTTGTATAACTAATGGAACCAGACAAGGTTGCCCCCTGTCCCCCATAATCTTTGCCTTACTCATAGAACCACTAGCGACTAACCTTAGAAATGACCCAAAATTCACGGGAGTTGAATACTTCACCATTGAGCATAAAATCAGTCTTTTCGCAGACGACATTATACTGATGATTACAAATCCATACAAATCACTCCAGACGATACGTACACACATTCAAGAATACGCGGCGGTCTCTTACTACAAACTTAACGAACCTAAATCGTCAATATTAAATTTATATACCCCTCCTATAACCCAAGATTTACTTTCTAAACAATTCCCCTTTACCTGGGCAAAGGACAGCATTCCATATTTGGGGATTAGACTTACTAATACTACTAACCACCTTTACACAACTAATTATAAACCGCTACTCGAAACTATCCCACAGGAGCTAAAGAACTTTCGTACTTCTACTCTCTCGTCATTAGGTAGAATAGCAACCCTAAAAATGTGTATACTCCCTAAGATATTATACATTTTCCGTACACTCCCTATTCCGGTCCCACATTCATTCTTCACTAAACTCCAGGCCATATTAAACAAATTCCTATGGAACTCAAAAAAACCCAGATGCACCACGAATCTTCTAATACGTCCAACCTCCAGAGGTGGAGCAGGCCTACCACATATGAAGTCCTACTACCAAGCTGTTCTATTAGATCAGCTCTTCTTTTGGTGGCACCCCTCCCCTGAAAAAATTTGGACCTTGGAAACATCCCTGTATCTTCCACATTCTATAACAGACGTACTATATTTACCCCGAGCGGCGCATATTCAAGATCTTCACAAACACCCATGCATACAAGCCTCCTTAACAGCATGGCATGATTTTATTGATTATAATAAATTAGAGAACAACGTCCGAACCCCTACCCCACTATCGTCCCTACATCACATCATTCCCCATCTAAACTTGACGAAGTGGTCGGCCCTTGGCATACTCCACATTCAAGACTTATACTCCTCAAATAAATTAAACTCCTTCTACTACACACTGCGGAGAGTCTGGTACACTTCTCCATATACTCTGGAATTGTAGGTCGATTAAGTCCTATTGGAATAAAATTTTCCAAACTTCCTCAATTACAGGTACCTTAATAACCCCGAACCCCGCTTTAGCTCTCCTCCATATTGGCATAGATAAATTTCCTACAAATTTACGGACCATCATTATACACACCTTAGCAGCTGCAAAAATCAATATTACCAGACTGTGGCGCTCTACCACCACCCTCCCTTTATCTCGCCTCTTCTCTGATCTTAACCTCCAATGTGAAATGGAAAGACTGACAGCTCTCCGAAACTCCTCCTCTCACAAATTTAATAACCATTGGTCTCGATGGCTAAATAACCCAAATTGCTCTGTAAAATGATTACAAATACTACCCAGTGTACTGCACGTAACCTGTACTCCGCTGGTGCCCTCTCTTCCTTTCTTCCCCCCCCCCATCTCCCATTTCCCCCCCATTTATAATATAGATTTCATATAGAACGGTTCGCATGACAATGAGCATACCTCTCATGTATACAATTAGAACCTAAAAGATCCCCGGCCTCTTGGTGGGGATCCTATACTCCTATTTTCTACTCATGCATTATGATCCTTCATGTGAACCTTTCCAGTTTATTGTTAATATGTTTATGTTTTTGTCTGTTGGAAAAAAATTTTCAATAAATACCATTTGAATATAAAAAGATAAAACTCGTAATAATGGCGAGAATATAATGCAGAGGGGAAAAGCTGGGTTAAAATAGAAAATATACTAAGTAATACATTAAGTGGAATTGTATGGTTACCTCCACAATACAGAGGATTAGCAGACAGTACAAGTTTGTTCACATTTAATGTTTTAAGAGTTTGGGATGTTTTACAGAGATGGGATTGGAATTTAATTCATTGTTAATCCCCGTAAAGTCCACAGAGTTTTTCCCCCCGGGTAAAGAAGGTATCACAGGGAAGTGGATTAAGAAGGAAGATACACAATTAAGGGATATAATGGTGGGGGAGGAAATAGGATCACTTAAGGAATTGGAAAAAAAAGTTTTTACGAGAATGGATGAGTGGCTTTATTTTCAAATGAAACACTTTATAGGAAAGCTTCCAAAGCCTTTAAGAATAAGAGAGGATTGGAATCCTTTTGAGCACTTGTTAGGTACATGGGGAGATGGGAAACACGGAACCTCTAAAATATATAAGATTCTCACTGAAATAAACGCAGATATAAGTCCTCCATATATAGAACAATGGGAAAGAGAAATAGGAGCTACAATAGATGCGGAAAAACAGAGGAAAATGTTTAGAATAATCCACGGAAATATAAATATGCAGGAGGTAGAAATGAATTATAAGTGTTTGGCAAGATGGTATATCACACCGAGTGTGGCACATAGATTGAGTGGAGATAATTCACCTTTATGTTGGCGTGGATGTGGAGGTAGAGGCACAATGTTTCACATATGGTGGGAGTGTTCTAAAATACAAGAGTATTGGGGGGAAAATAGTAAGCTTGATTCAGAACATTACAGAGGTTGATATTCTAGTAGACCCAGAGATTTGCCTTTTTCATAGTACTAAGCTTTCAGTTAAAAAATACAAAGAATCTGGTTTATTGTACTATTTGAATACAGCAAGGTGACTGATACCCAAGTATTGGAGGAAACAGGAGGTGCCGAAAATAATAGACTGGGTGGATAGTAAGCTTGATTCAGAAAATTACAGAGGTTGATATTCTAGTAGACTCAGAGATTTGCCTTTTTCATAGCACTAAGCTTTCAGTTAAAAAAATACAAAGAATCTGGTTTATTGTACTATTTGAATACAGCAAGGTGACTGATACCCAAGTATTGGAGGAGACAGGAGGTGCCGAAAATAATAGACTGGGTGGATAGGGTGGATCAAATATGTAAATTGGAGGAACTTTATCATTTGAATGAAAATAAGATGGAGTTACTATATACGATGGAACAAATGGGAGGAATTCAAAAAGTCAAGGCTAGCCTTAGAGGTTATGGGGGATTAACATAGAATAATATGGAAACATATTTTGTTCTTTTATAGGGATTAGGGATTACGATCTCCAGAAATAAACAGGAAAATGCAGAGCAGAAGGGGTCAGGGATTGGACGGGGGGGGGTGAAGGATGGCTGGTAAATAGGGGGAGGGGGGGAGAGGGATGAAACAATAAATGTTTTGATAATAAGCTAAGGTTTTAATGAGTATGTTTGTTTGTATAACTTGTTTATCTGAAAAATTAATAAATATTTAAATTAAAAAAAAAAAAACAAAATCAGACAATTGGGTGAAATTGTCAACTACAGGAGGATTTGGACACTGGCAAACAAAACAGTGGCCAACCTGGTATAACCACTCTCATCGTATGCCTTATATTTTGATAGTGTCCTAGGAGGATGGATCTTCTCTCTTCTGAGAAATGTTTAACCATTTTACTTGCAATTTTTTTTTTCTTCAGCCAACACTTCCCTACTCACTGGGGTGGATTTACTACAGGCAAATAGTCTGTGCACTTGTGTGTGCAGCTGCTCTAGATCTGAGGGGAAGCTCTGTTGATATCATCCAATCATGTGCAAGCAAAATGCTGTTTTTTATTTTCCTTGCACATGATTGGGTTTCTTTGCAAAGTGAAGCTTAACCTCATTTACTAAGCTCTGAAGCAACTGCGCTTGCAGTGCACAGTATATTTGCCTTTAGCAAATCAAACTGCACTGTTTGAGCAGGTCTAGATCAGCACTAGTTTGTGAAGTCATACCCACTGCTGGACTGGACATTTCGATACTGGGTACACCACATTGTGGTGCTTTCCAGTTCTGAGTTAGCTGTGTTATCCACAGAAACGTTTTCCAGGTCAAGAACTGTGGCAAATCCTGTAGTGTGACCCACTCTCCTAAGACTCAGTTTGTGAGTAGGTCCTGTGAGATTGCTTTTGTGAGTTAACAGAATGGGTTAATGCTGAAGGAGTGATGACACAGTTAAGATTGTTGTGCAAGCTGTATACTCTCTTGTTCCAGCGAATTGGCTTAAAGTAATATTTTCCTGTCACTGCTTCTTATCTTAAATAATTTTCCTTGAATGGTGCTTTCTGTCCACCTACAGTGACTTGGTCACCTCCGGGTCTGAACCTCTCCTGCTACCAGCCGCCAGGCTACGAATACCCAAAGCTTAAGCTTTAACTCAGAGCTGTTTTGTCTTTACCTTGCAGTGCAACATTTCAGTTACCAGACACAGGGGTCATAGTCCAGCTGTAACAGGTCCTTCTTGGTCTGTTCCAAGAGGATTTTACTGCTGTTATACAGGATTTCATGGGACAAATTGAAACCCTGGTTGTTGACTCTGATCGCAGAGGCCATAACTCCATGCCTCCTCCTGCAGAATAATTTTCTGATCTACCTGTGGCTTATGCTACCTCTGAAGCTCTGTCTGATGAACAGTCTCAGAAATCCTTAGTCCTGGAACCCATTGCTGAAAAAGTTCCACCACCTGGGTCCTTTACTAGTTTATGGCAGGGGACACTGGTGTGGCACCTGGAGCGATTGCCTCGCATCACTAGTGGGTGCCCAGGGTCCCAGATTGTCCCCTGTGCAGCCGCAAGCATTTCTTGATCTGGAGGTGGGATAGGGTGGGTAAGAGGATACTGTATGTGTTAGGGGGGTGTTTTGGGAGGAGAGAGGACGTATGCTGGGGGGGTTGGTCAGATTTCATATCCAACTCCCCTTCTAGCACAAGTTCCCTCTCCTCCCAAAGTGCCCCCTAGCACATTATAATTTTTTTTTATTATATCACATTCAATATCCTCCCACCCAGCCTCCCCCACTGCAAGTATTCATTTTTGTCAGCTTGCCCCCTGCCCCCGCACACCCCCCCCCCCCCGAACGCACATGTTTCACCTGTATTGTAATAATCATAGACTTCAGATCAGTGCGGCACATTTACAGTGGTGTCCCCCTTCCTCCTCCTGTGTACAGGAAAATATCAGAGCCGAGGAGAAGGAGGCTGCATCATCACTCCATTCTGTACTGTTTGCCATGTACTAATGTGAAATGCAGCCAGTGGGGAGAGATGCCAGCTGCTATACAGTGCTGAGATCGCAGTGTGTGGGACATCAAACACCCCACAAAAGATGCAAGGCGGGTGTTCCCACACTAGGGTGCCCTTGCCAGGCAAGTCACTGCTCCAACAGGATTCAGCATGGATTTATTGGCAAGGTCCTGACTAATGCAGGAGGTATGGAATTTACAGCCCCCTTCCCACCCTTATGCACCTCCCTAAGCTGCCTTATGGTGACCCTGCCCTTCTTTAACAATTTTGCAGAAGCTCTCTTTGCTCTTGCTGGCCCATCTCTGCAACTGGCTATTGCTGTTGCTATTCTGTTTCTCAAACTTCAGCTAACTGGACTAAAGAATTTAACAATCAACAGGTTCCTGTATTTTAGATGATACAGGAAATTCTGAATTAACACTTACAAACGTTGCTTTTCTCTCCATTTTTCTGTGTTGATGCCAAAGAACAAGTCATGACACACATTTCCAGAATTACTCTCATTTCCGTCTATATATAAAAATCTTATGGCTAAAATCCACGTCAGCTGAAGCTACCTGTAATATCTGCCTTTTGAATGAGGATGTCTTATTGGTGATGGTGATGTATTTGGCATGTTCGTGGAGGGGGGGAGCCTGGGGGAAAAAAAAGTCTCCCATTACAAAAAGCTCCAAAACTTTCCTACATGGGGGCTTCTACCTCCTCTAAATGAAGAGCACCCCATCGCTTGGTTGTCCCCTTGGCTCAATAACACTCATGTCTTCAGCACAACATTCTGTTGGATTGGAACAAACATACCCTCTCAATCTTCCCATGCTTCTCTCCAGTCAAGCAAGGAACTCCCTAATTTGGTGGATTTTCAACCCAATCTTTGAAATTGAGAAGTTATTTTTTCTTTCTGAATGTTCACAACTGATGACAACAGATGCCAGCTTCACAAGCCGGGGCAGAGTGTTCTAATCTCTCACAGTTCAAGGAACTTGGTCTCCAAATGATGTAAAACTCCTCCGTTAACAGTTTGGAGCTTTGGGCAATAAAACTACCTCTGTATCCGGGACAACCAATCAGAATGCAATCAGACAATGGTGCACATCAATCATGGTGGGGGAGGGGGTGCCAGGAGTCAAGCAGCCTTGAAGAAAGTAAGTATGATTCGCTCCTGGGCAGAGAACCACTGTCCAGAAATCTCTGCTGTTCAAAATTCCAAAGAGTACAGAGAGTGGAAATTTGTCAGGTGGTTTTCATCAGCCATTGCTGCCTGGTCCCCTTATTCTGACATCTCCAATATCTTATCTTTAAGGGCATGACTGTTGAACCCTAGGTCTTCAAGGACAGGGGTATCTGAGTTTCATTTCCACCTTTCTTTTAACCATAAAAGCCACTTCATGAAAAATACTACTGTACCTGGAAATCATATTTTGCTTGGTGCAAATGCAGGCTCTTCAACCCCAGAGATTATGCTGTACCTTGTATAATGGTTCTCCTACAGTCAGGACTTGACCAGAATTTGACCATGAGTACTGTTAAAGCAGTATTAAACTTTAGTTAAAGACCGGTATGGTCTTCATGACAGAAGAGACCCCCCATTCTGTCATGTACACTGGGCTGTGCATTTACAGCATCACTCTGTGCTGTGCATGCGCGCAGGAGTGACATTACAACCCAGCCAGGGAGAGTAAACTTGGAAGAAAGACTGGGCAAATATGGAATCGCCGGTGACCAGCAGAGCAGTGACAGCTCTGTGCTTTGTTTGACAGGCACGTCTGTCATATGCTAGTATGGAATGCATACTAGAACATTGACATAAACCACCTGGGGGTTTGTTTCATAAAAAGAAAAGAAAAAAAAGTTTAATACTGCTTTAAGGGACAGATTTTGGCCTTATCCATCCTAATATAGAGGTTTCTGACCTCACTTTCCCTTGTTAGAACCTTTATTCAAGGTGTATCACAGATTAGGTCTCAATTTGTTTCTCTCTGCCCTGTAGAAACCACCTTTTGAGCCCATTAGGGAACTCTCCTTGTGTGATCTTTCCTGCAAAGTGGCCTTCATGGTGGCTATCATTTTTGTCAGACATGTTTCTGATATAGAGGCTCTATAATGCAAAGAGATTTTCCTGATTCTTCACAAGAACAAAGTGGTGTTGAGTCCAGGTCTTATTCACTGGGTTGTGTCTCGAGGGGGCTGCAAGGTGGCAGCTGTCCTGAGGCCTTATGAGTAATGACCTTGAATTGATTCCTGGTAACTGTGTGGTTTTTGGCATATAAGGGCCAGAGGATTCTTGGACTGAGATTGCTCTTATATGGTCTCGGATACTAACCATTCCCTGTCCTCATCAGTGTTCTGCACTGTGAGCTTAGAAAGGATTGCCTTCCTGTACTGGGCAGTGTTTCTGAGATCCCTCCGGGTACCAATAGCTGCGCAGGGTAACCAGATGCCAAAAAGATACTTGCTGTCCAATATTCACAGTTGCTTAAGGAGAAGATTGTCCTCTCACAGCCAATTGCGAACCTTTTTTTGGTATATCACATTTCCCCAACCCTTCTGCTATACGTTTTACCAGCAATAAATAAAAAAAAACCTTGACAGTTGGAGCCAGAGTGAATGAGTGGATGGTGGCCTTTGTACTGGAGAACCAGTTAAAACCACTACACTGAGTATGCAGCTTCTTTATCTTTCAATCCTTGTCTATGTTTCAGCTTAAGCTGGTGCCATGACTGGCTTGCTCCAGGCTTTCTGCTTCAGGCTGGCGTCTTCTCTTGCAACATCGTATGGAGCCACCATTCTATTCAGCAACTGGAGTTGTCACCCTACACTGTGTAAAAAAAAAAAAAAACCCTGAAACCTGCAATGTATTTATAAATTGCAGTGAAGGTTTCACAATCATGTAGACCAGGCAATATTTATCAGTAAACCTAACAGAAATATGAAACCTACCTTGAACAGCAAAGATAAAATATTTCCTTTCTGAT